GCTGGCCCAGATTGTCCGGCGGTATGGGCTGGGGTGTCATCAATATGCAGATGACACCCAGCTCTATTTGATGTTGGGCAGCCAATCGGACTCCGACCCAAAAGATCTGCACCGGGCATTACAAGCCGTGGCTGGGTGGCTCAGACTCAGCAGGCTGAAATTAAACCCGGCGAAGACGGAGGTCCTGTGCTTGAGTCGGACCGGAACGGGGTTAGGGTTCCTGCTCCCAACCTTTGATGGGACACCTTTGGTGCCAACTTCAGAGGTTAGGAGCTTGGGAGTGCTTTTGGACCCCCAAAGAGCACTTCGGGCAGGGTCACAACACCGGCTGGTGACCCCGGGCCCCAAAGAGGCCAGGCTTGCAGCAACAAGGCCAGGTCTTTTTCAGTGGCGGCTCCTATCTGGTGGAATGAGCTCCCGGAGGGCCTGTAAGACAGAGCTTTTCCGCCAGGCATATGAGTAGGAGCTGCCACTGCCACTACCACCACCGTTTCTCCAGAAAGTGTTACCGCCGGAAGACCCTGAAACATCCAACTGTGGCCCTAGTCTTCTCCTCTGCTATGCAAAATGTGGGAGTTTTTCTTCTCTTCCGTGCACCCTGACAGTATTGATTTTTAACTGTTTTTATCCATTTTATATACTGTATAAGACGCTGAACTGCAGGCTGTGGAAGGTCAGTAGTTCAGCAGTTCAAGACCCGGGTGCCGCAAGACAGGGTGAGCTCCTGTCTCTAGTTCCAGCTCCTGCCAACCTAGCAGTTCGAAAGCAAGAAATTGCAAGTAGATAAATAGGTACCACTTCGGTGGGAAGGTAACAGCGTTCCGTGCGCCTTGGTGTTTAGTCATGCCGGCCACATGACCACGGAAACGTCTTCTGACAGCGCTGGCTCTTCGGCTTTGAAACGGAGATGAGCACCGCAACCCTAGCGTCGGATTCGACTGGCTTTCGAGCAAGGGAACCTTTACCTTTACCTTCACACACACACACTTTGTGCTCTTGTAAGCTGCCCTGAGCCCGTTCGTGGGAAGGGCGGGGTATAAATGCAATGAAAATAAATTTATACTTGGTTATGTTTGCCTTGCCTTTTAATAGCCGCTCTCATAAAGAAACCCCTTATCAGCTTAAATAACGTTCCTCCCTTTCTTAAGCATTTCTCACCCCCCTCTCTCCATTTCAGATTAGAATTCCTCGTCCCTTTCTTCCCCTTACTTAGAGAAAAAAATTAATTTATAGACACTTAGCTTCGTGTTTGGTGTTTATAGTTTTCCTTTTCTTGTTGGCGTTGGTATGTTGTACTCCGTTTGGTCAGTCGAGCTCCTCTTGTGCTCGGCGCAAGGGAAAAAACAATCCTTCGCTGGCTTACTCCACTTTCCTGCTCCAAGACAAACCAAAAACAGACACCAGAAAGAGTCGCCACTCCTTCTGATCGGGTTGAAGTCTCTGGCAAATATTCTCAAAAAGGGTGAATATTTTGGCTGAAAAAACTGCCAGAAAAATGTGAGTTTATGGGTAGAAATGCATAGAGCTCTTCCACGCACCTCTATCCTCGATGAGCTCTGGCCGCCATTTTTTCAAGGATTTTGTTCTTTTTTGGGCTTCTGGTGGCCTCCCATCCAAGCAAATGGGCAGGCTCAACTTTGTAAGGCAGAAAGGAAGTATGAGCCCCAAGGAAGGAGAGAATAAGTGAGCAGAAAACAAAGGGGTTAAAAGCTTCCTGGGGAAAAGATGCAGATCTTGCAGGAAGTAGGGGAACTTTACAGAAGACATCTGTGTTAAAAGAATTCTCCACGCTGGGTATGCTCAAGACACAACACTACCTAAGGTAGCATAAATTGCCTGGCTTCGGATAAAAAGCTTGGCTGTCCTCCCTGAAAGAAAACCTCCTTTCTCCTCCACCTCGCACAGCTGTTAAATTATAATTGGTCTTTTCTGTGGAATGTAATTGATTTATGGCCTCTTGCCACAAAAAGTACAGCAGCATCAGGCCTACAAACACCAGGTGTAGCACAAGGTATGCTACACCGGGATTTTACATCATGTCCTGAAGCTTCCCCCCCCCCCTCTTCTTCTGGTAACATCCACCCTGATAGTTTTGGAGACCTCTAAAGCTTGCACAGAGTTATGTGTGGTTGGGTCGCAATAAAAAGTATTAAAACTGTGTTCTAGTTTTTTCGAAGTTCAAAATAAGCCCACTGCTTGTGTGTCTCCCATTTATATCAGGTGGCTGGTTCTTTAACACTACAGGAGAGAGGCCCTTGCCTAGCCTGTGTGCTGGAAGTGAAAGTTGATAGCCAAACTGGAGGAGAGGGAGAGGTTGTGGCTCAGTAGTAGAGCATCTCCTCTGCATGCAGAAGGTCCCAGGTTCAATCCCTGGCATCTCCAGTTAAAGGGACCAGGTGATGTGAAAGACCTCAGCCAGAGATCCTGGAGAGTCACTGCCAGTCTGAGTAGACAGTACTGACCTTGAAGGACCAAGGATCTGATTCAGTATAAGGCAACTTCACGTGTTCAGCAGAACAGCAATGATTGGAATTTTCATGGAGCAACATGAAAAACAGACGTATTTCCATGGTGTCGCCCAGACATTGGCTTATCTTCCCCCATACATAAATCTCAGCTTCCTGTTTTGTTCTCCTTTAGGCTCCAGTTAAAGATGCTTTAATTCACTTGGGGGCTTGAAAGCCTGTGATCACTGTTTCTGTTTTATTACAGTAGATTGTTTTGTATAATGTACCATTCTGTATATGACCCCCCCAAAAATAGCAAACATGAATGAGAATATGTCTAATATGTGTTGGAAATGTTAAAATCATGAAGGCTCACTGTATCATATGTGGTGGACTTGTGATAAAGCTACGGCTTACTGGACGGAGGTCCATACTGAGATCCAGAAAATTCTAAAAGGTACATTTAAAAAAGAACCAGAAATATTGCTTTTAGGTCTTAAGATGGAAGAGGTTAATGTAACAAAAAAAACATTGTTATGGTATTTGATTACTACTGCGAGAATGACTTATGCACAATTTTGGAAGCAGGACAAAGTGCCAGAGATATGGGACTGGATTAAAAAAGTGCTCTTTATGGCGGAGATGGATAAACTGACAAGGAAGCTCAATAACAAAGAAGATGAAGAATTTTATGAAGAATGGAAGGACTTCAAGGAATATGTAGAGGCTAGATGGGATGTGAAAAACACCTTAATAGGCTTGGATAATTATTAGGAGGGACCAATGGAAAAAATAATGTATAGAAATGAGTTTTATAAGAAATGTTACCTGAAAAAATAACTGTATAAAGTTAAAAATTGAGGTGGAGAGAAGAAGATAAAGGGGAAATCGCACTGCGGGAAGCCATGTAACGGGGGGAGGGAAGGAAACAGAAAATGGATATATAGAGATTGAAATGATATGGAAAATGAAATGATTATGTTGTTATATCCTTTAATAAAATGTTTAAGCAAAGATGCTTTAATTCACTTGGGGGCTTGAAAGCCTGTGATCACTGTTTCTGTTTTATTACAGTAGATTGTTTTGTATAATGTACCATTCTGTAATCCTCCACATGGAGATCTAAGTTAGATGGCAAGATAATAGAGTACACCTTAGTATCAGGACTTTGCCTCTGTACCCACATCCTTTTAACTGACATGCATGTGGCAGAATGGGCCCATGTCAGCTGGCTCTGCCCACCCCTCCTTTGCCTGATCTGGCACCTGAAGGGGCAGTTTTTCTCCAGTGCCTCTGGGAATTGCTGCCACCACTGTCCCTGTCTTGGGCTCTGGTTAGGCAGGAAAGCTTCCTAACCTCCCTCCAATCTGACTAGGAACCCGCCTCAGGGCTTCCTGGCAATCTTTGGGGCTCCCCTAGAGAGTTGGGAACTGGCTGTTTTGCCCCCTTTTCTCCTCCATAGGGATTTCCCAACCCACCTCTAGCACATCCAAGTGACTGGGGGAACGAAGTGGTACAGAGGAACTCTCACCATCAACAGGTAAAGGATTTATTTGAAAACTCTTAACTATTTACAGGCATCTCCACAGTGAACTGAAGAATCAAAATAAAGGTGACAAAACCGCTCCATCTCTCCCTTCTCTACACTCATGCCCTGTCTAGATGGTCTGCAGGGCAGGCACATCACTTCATTTCATCGGAGAAAGTGGGGTCAGCATGTCTCCCACAAGGGCCCCTGCCTCCTGCAGACTCCAACCGACTGTCTGACTGGCTTCAGACTTCTGACAGACTGCACTGGCTTCCCGCCCAAAACTCCACAATATAAAACAGCAGTTTCCCGCCCAGGAACCGGCTCTCCCTCCTGCAGCATTCTGGGGCAGATCTCCTCACCACCATGATGGAGTTCGCCTGGATGGTGCTTTGGCGGGAGGGGGGGGGGGGGATGTGGAGGAGGTTAGGCCCAGGCCTACCTCAAGCCTGATGGTCTCCTCCTATCTGACCCACACCAACTTAAACACATACACAAAATGGTGTTTCTCCACAGTACCATTCTGTAATCCTCCACGCTGGAGATCTAAGTTAGTCGTCAAGATAGAGTACAGCTTAGTATCAGGACTTTGCCTTTGCACCCACATCCTTTTAACTGACGTACATGTGGTTCCTTTGTGCATTTCTTAGATGGAGTCACACTTTTGCCACACCCTACTTTTCAGCTGAAAACAAATTCTACTGGATAGCTTGAAACTTTAGGCAGAAAATTTTCTGTCTTCCTCTTTTGTATTTTTGCATCTGTGTGTGCGTGTGTGCACATGCGTGTGCCTGTGCCTGGAAGCCATGGAGACCTCTGGCAACTCCTACTGGGGCATGGAGGATGTTCAGAGAAGTGGCTTAATAGCCTGCCTCTAGGCAGAAAATTTTCCACCTTCACTTCTCTCATCTGACCCTCAGTTGCAAGCAAAAGCGAGAAGTACAGTTCTATAGCATGGCTACCTGAACAACCTGAATATTCCGCATCAGCTAGAAATGTCAGCTCTAGGTAACCCTCCAACTCACCTGTTATCAGAGGGCATCCATGAAACAGAAAAATGTATATCAGAGGACAGCAAGTCAGGACAGCTTCCACAGCTATGTCAGTCAGACTAACACACCGTTCCATGTGGATCTCCTGTTAATGAGAATGAATACTGGTACCAGGGACTACTGTAACCCAAACCAGCAATTTAAAAAATTGTGTTAAATCAATTAAGTATAAATAGAACATATACTTATAACAATACTTGGAACTGGGGGTTGTTGGGGGGGGAAATACCTTTAAATTCTTTGAACATGTTCCACCAACAAGTGCTATAACACCATCATCAGTAACCTGAATGGGAAAAGCAGATTTCTTGTCGGTGAATAGGTTAAAAACACAGCACATATATGCACTTAACAAAAGAAATAAACCTGCACAATTCTGGAAACAATCTAACTTCCAATCTGTTATTCTTCATTTTATACAGGTTTTGGAAACATAGATTTTATGCTAACTGGAGTTATTTCTTGTCTCCTGAATGATTTATCGATTATGAACGGGTTCGTGACAACACTGGCAATTTATGGGACATGTCATGGATAACAGTTTACTAGTTCACCATTAGTAGGGGGCTAACCAAAAATAACTGAGTGATCAAGCAGGGAGGAACAATCTCAAATTTTATGTACTGCCATCTAGAACAGTAAAACAACTCAAGACGCTTTTTAAATTTGGAGCTGCTTACAGATATCACAATAAAAAACAGGTTGCTTACCTGTAACTGGTGATCTTCGAGTGGTCGTCTGTGCATTCACACCCCATGGGGTTCAGTGCACATGCGCTGGACAATCGGCATTGTAGCAAAGCTCTTAACGGATTATTGCGCCCAGACCTCGGGCATGCACAGGAACCCCACCACGCATGCCCAGAGGGGTGGGTGCGGACATCCCACCAGTTCCTTCAAACCGCCGTGAATCAACGCCTATGAAAAATGTAGAAGCTGACAGCAGCGGGGAAGGAGGGCGGGTGGTGTGAATGCACAGATGACCACTCGAAGATCACCAGTTACAGGTAAGCAACCTGTTTATCTTCGACGTGGTCTCTGTGCTTCACACCCATGGGAGATTAGCGAGCAGTGGCCTACCTGGAGGAGGGTGCTGGCAGGTCCTTACTGCAAAGCCGAGGATTAGATGTGACGTCCCATGTTGGTACGAGAGTTCTTATGGACGTCTAGGGTGTAGTGCTTTATGAATGTGTTAGGCGTGGCCCACGTAGCGGCTCTGCAAATGTCCAATAGGGGAACTCCCTGGAGGAAGGCAGTTGAGGCTGCAACAGCTCTGGTTGAATGAGCCCTGATAGAGCCAGGCAATGGCTGCTTGGCAATAAGGTAGCAGAGGCGGATGAGACCTACAATCCACTTTGATAAATGCTGAGCCATGATGCACGTCCTTAGCCTTGTTGGTACCTAGGAGACGAACAGTTGACAGTCATGTCTCGTTGGACGGGTTCTATTTAAGTAGAACAGAAGTGCACGCTTCGCATCCAACGTGTGTAACAGTCTCTCCTCTGAGGATGTCGGTGCCGGGAAGAAATCCGGGAGGAAGACCTCTGCCTGTAGGTGAAATTCTGACACTACCTTTGGCAGGAATGAGATGTCAGGCATGAGGCAGATGCTGTCTGGCAAAAAAGACAAGTAAGGAGTGTCATGACTGAAAGCCAGTATTTCTCCAACTCGCCTTGCTGAAGTGACAGCGACCAGAAAGGCTGTTTTCCACGACAGGAATTTTATGTCGCAAGTTGCGAGCAGCTCAAAAGGTTTCCTGGTGAGTTGGCGAAGGACCAGGGGAATGTCCCAGGGGAAGACAGGAGTTTTGATGGGAGGGTAGAGGTGCAACAGTCCCTTCAAAAAACGTTTTGAAAGTGGATGCGAGAACAGTGTGCATCCCTCAACTTGAACATGGTAGGCCGAAAGTGCGGCCAAATAAACCCTTAACGAGGAATGTGAAAGTCCCAAGTCAGCGAGAGATGGGAGGAATTCGAAAACTTTCTCGAGACCTGCGGAGGTGGCTCGAGGGGCAGCGTCACCCAAAGAGGAACAAAATTTTTACCACCTGTAATGATAGGACATTCGCATAGTGGACTTTCTGGAGTTTAGCAAGACATTTGCTATGCGGGTGGAAAAGCTGTTGACGCTACTCTCCAGGCTGTCAACTTCATTCGTGGCACGTCATGGTATAGGAGAGGAGACTCGGTTAGGAACAGGAGGTCTTGTGCTGGAGGAAAGTGGTGGTAGTTCACCGCTGACAGATTGAGGATTGTTGAGAACTATGGTTGCCTCGGCCACCACGGGGTTATGAGGACGCAGTCCGCTCTGTCGCTGATGATTTTGTGGACCACTCTCAGGAGCAGAGGCAGTGGAGAGAAGAAGTAGAGAAATCCTCTGGACCACGAATAGAGGAGACTGTCCCCTAGAGACTGTGGGTTCCTGCTACCTCGGGTGCAGAACAGAGGGCACTTTTTGTTCACCCTGGTGGCAAAAACATCTATCTGGGGGAACCCCCACCTGCGGAAGAGTGGAAGGAGGTACGTTGGATTCATTTCCCACTCGTGGAGACTCAGGTGGTCTGCCTGTACATTCATGTGCCCTGGGATGTGCGTGGCGAATAGGAAGATGTTGTGAGTGATGCAGACGTCCCATAGTTGGAGGGCGAGGTCGCAGAGGCGTTGGGAGACAGTGCCCCCTTGCTTGTTCACATAACTGAGGGCAGTAGTATTGTCCGTGAGGACCGTGACACATTTCCCCATGATCAGAGGTAGGAAACTGGTGACAGCGCACTGTATTGAAAGCAGTTCCAGGAAATTGATGTGCCAATTCCGTTTCTGAGTGTCTCATCTGCCTCCGACACAAAGTTCCGTCATGTGGGCGCCCCAGCCCGAGTGGGAGGTGTCTGTCATTAGGGTCATTTGGGGTGATGGAGGATGAAAGGGTGCTCCCTGAAATAGGTTGGAAGGGACAGTCCACCAAAGTAAAGAGTCCCGTACTTTGACAGGTGGGAATAGGTGGATGGTGTGTGTGTCTCTCTCTGGATTGAAATTGCGGATAAACCATAGTTGCAGGTGACGCATTTTTCATTTGGCAAAACCCAGGACTGATGTAGTAGCGGCCATGAGGCCAAGTAGCCTTTGTATTTGAAAGGCCATCATTGAGGGCCGGGTACGGATGACAGTGGCTAGGTTGATGATGTCGGCTGCCCTTTTTGTGGCAGGTAGGCTGTGCAATTTGTGGAGTCCAGTAGTGCACTGATGTAGTGTATTTTCTGGACCAGTTGAAGTTGAGACTTTTCCAGATTGA